ATTAACATTTAAGGTAATGATTAGTTTTAGCACTTAGTGACATCTCAATTCATTTACTATTTAGTAATACACATAGTAATACATAACACATAGTAATACATATTTATGTGCAAAACCAAAAGCATATATTACAATATAAGCGTATGTTTGATAATACTTACTGCACTGTTACCTAACTATAGTGCTCTTATACTTGTGCCCACTGGGCTCTTACCTAACCCTTGGGAAAGGGTTTAATACTTTTTGAGGGGTTGAGGCTTTCCAAAAGGTAACGGCTTTCAGGAACGGTATCGGTGTTCAGTCAACGGTTATTAATAATGCACAATTAATTGCAAAGTTTATTGATTATAAATGTAGTATAAATGTTACTTTAAAAAAGGACCGGGCACTGGCATACAACCAGTGCCGGAGACAAACTAAAATACTTCATGCTGTGGACCGACTGCTTCCTAGGGCGGACTGGGCTGTGGTTTATATACCACCCACCGGTCCACACGTATGAATAGAAATACCAATAGCTATGGTATGAGAGTTACATAAAATAGGGGAGAAATATGACACTTAAGGCTTACATAAGAAAAGGCATTGCATAGTGATTAGTGTATGTATGGGGAGAACACAGTATTACTGTAATATTTATAAGAAAATTATGTATACAAATAAAATTATACATTTCGATCTCAAATTATTTATTGAATCATTTACTGTATATAGGAATGTCATCAAGTTAATTGATTATTTAAGAATCAATTACTTTGAAAAATTGCAATCTCTGTGGTGTACCCTCACATCTGCACGTATTACCAACTTTATTAATCTCGATATACTTATCCAGGCCAAACGAGCCCACAAATGAACCAGTAGTATTAAACTTAAGCACCTTGCTACCCTCCCACTGTTCCTGATCAAAAAACAACTTAACCAACTTATTAGTCAACTCCATGTCCACGTCCATACCGGACTTGCTTGTAATCTTGACCTAGAACATATTAACATATAATTATCAAATTAAAAAATAATCATGTTCATTTTTACATGAATAGTCGCGATATAGGGCAGTGCTAAGTCGCTGATCCATTTCACATACGACAGCACTTTAATGCATTGATCTTCCGGTATATTCACTGTCTTTTTGACGGATATCTTATACTCGTTTGTTGTCGACAACTGACTGCCCCGGGTCTCTCTGGACTCCTGTCCCAACTCCCACTCCACTTCAGCCGTAGTGGACACGGAGGCATCAAATATGCCAAACAGGTTGGCACTCACACCGGCTGTTACGCTAAATCGGTTGCAATACCTACTGACCCACGAAAGCGACTGTTCCATAGATATGGTGTATGTCTGGGTCTTAGTTCGATCAATGGTGACCTCATCGGATGTAGTGGCAGGGCTACAGTTGATAACCGTGGTGGTTTCGACCAGGTCCAGTTTACGGTGTTGTTCGAGTACCTCGTCCAATGGTTGAGTGTATCTGAAATTGGTCATGGTGACATCCACGTTGTAA